TGGAGCCTTACCCTGACCACTGTACTCCAAGTGACAACCTCCTAGCTCTTACCTCAGTTGTATATTCTGTTTCTTATATCATTTGCCACTCTAATAAAATATATAACTGACTTACTTGAGTATATTCCACATGTTGCCTTCCTATCTAAAATTAACGTTCTTTGTCTCTTACAATTATTTGTGTAGCCCAAGGTAATATGAAATGCCTAGCTCTAGCAAGTGCTCAGCACATATGTACTGGGTGCATCAAACAAAGCGATACTGTCTTCTGCTTTCTGCGCTCTATGCAATCTTGACTTGCCTTCCTGTTGTTTGAGTGAGTAACTGAAGTTTTTATCATGCGAATCCATATGTATGTCTTTTTCTGGTTGGTAAATCTATTCATTTTAAATGTGACTAGACAAGTAAAGACAAAAATAGCAAGAATGTTGGATGATAGTTCCTCACCGGAAACAAAAATACACTGTTGGAGTTGAATATAGTACATTTTAGATATTTTCAAAGTCACTACTGCATAAAACTGTCACAACTGCCTGTGTTGTTTTGTCCCCTCTTCATGATACATCCCATGGGCTATGCTTTACTGATGGGGACGCTCTCTGGGGAGCTCCATGCGTTCAGGGTTGAGATTTCCTCTCATATTCGGGATCAAGGCACTCAGGTGAGAGAAGGGCAAGGCAGAGATGCTAATAGTGAGGTCATCTCAAGGTCATTCGCTGGGAGTAGGAAAGGATTAAACATTGCTCATGGGGTTAGGGATATAGTTTATCAGCACAGCACTTGCCTGGCAAATGCAAGATCCTGATTAAGTGATGCAAATGGTATTAACTGGAAATATTAAAGCATTCTAAATGTCTTGCTTATGTCTAGAATATTCTGGCAATTTGTTTATTCATTCTGTAAAAACAATAAGATATGATAAACGTTTGCTTAAAACTTATTGGGTCTCAATTTTACTTGAGCTTTGCAAGTAATAGTGATTCTTTCTAATGTGATAACACTGTAATGTGAATTTTATGAAACACTGGAAGACTGAAGCCTGTCGAGGTGATTTTGATTTTAGATCATCAGATGTGTGTTGTAAAGAGTTAAATACAAACAGTTAAATGCTTGTAACAGGAGCTTTGGTGTTAATGGCATAACTTTTTTTTAGTAATGCTCATTTTCCTTAGACATAAAAGGTGAAGCACACACACACACACACACACACACACACACAGCTCAGTTGCTTCTCCTAAAAGGTAACACAATGGAAACTGAAATTTTTCCAGTGGATGACAGACTTGCATTTGGCATTCTACTTATATTCTAGGAGAGGAATTAAATTGGTTTCAGCCATTTCACGCTAATAGCTATTAATCAGCTCTCTGTTTCTATAACAAATACTACAACTGCTTCATAACGAGAAAAGCCTTGTCCATGCTTCCAGTTTGAGAGTAAGTCTGAGTTGCTGATTTCTTGTCCCTGCAGTGAGGTGGCCCAGAGGGACTGAAGGGCGGGGCAGAGCAGAACTGCTCATCTTATGGCCTGGGGGAACAATTGAGAAAGACCACATTGCGTCCCCTAAGAGGACACACCCCAGTCACTAGAAGACCTGTCTGTGGGCTACAAACTTCCACCATCTTGCAGTAGCACTGCCGTGGGGCTGTGCCTTGGACACATAGGTGTGTGGGCACACTTCACATCCACATGCTGGCAAGTCATTTTATCAGTCTGATGAGTAAACATCTGTAAAATGACTTGAGGGTTTTGGTTTTTTTTGACAGGGTATACAGGGTCTCACTGTGTAGATCAGACTCATAGAGATTGTCCTGTTTATAGCCTCCCAAGTGCTGAGATTACAGGAGAGTGCCACCAAGCCCAGTCTCAATCTCAGCACATCCCAGGGGCAGGGCCATCACAGCAGTCCAGAGGGTTGAACTCCTGGCCCCTGAGTTTGCCTAAGCAGGTACTTTAATCCACTGAGCTATTTGGCCAGCCCTAAGACTTGAGTTTTGTTTTGTGTCAGAATGGTGTAAATGACCTGCTTTTAAACTCTCAGAAGATCAAGTTTTACTTGTTCAAGGCAATGAGTCCTAAGGCTTCATCCAAGATCCTTAAACACAGAGTTGGCAAAATTTCTTACACCTTCACTCTTCTTGCCCAGCCTGATAATTTAGTGGGATTCTGTCTGAAGGCAAAAAGTAACAAGGCTGGCATAGGTCAGCGGTAGAGTGCTTGTCCGGTAGAGTGCAAGATCTTGGGTTCAGGCCCCAGTACCACATTTTAAAAACTTACCACTCATATTATTCAGTCCCAAACTAATAAATATTGTATTTTTTTGAATCATACAGTTTGTTGTACTATAACTAAAAAGGACATAAGTAATTCTAAAAGTTTTGAAATTTGAAGCACTAAGGTTATATAGAGAGAATGGTATAAGATGAGAGTAATATGGAATGTGATTTCATGACATTAAATTACACAATTGATAATGTCCTGGTTATTTTTCTGATTGATGAGACACAATTTCCGATACAACTCAGAGGAAGAAATGTTTGCTTTCGCTCACAATGTGCAGTTGTAGTCCATTGCTGGCTGACTCCAAGGCAGGGAGGATTTGCAGCGGAGAACCAGCTTATGGTGAGGTGGCACAAAGCAGAGAAGACGCAAGGGAAGAGGGAGTGAGACAGACACGTACAGGCCACAGCCCTGACCCACCTCCTCTGGCCAGGCCTTGCCTCTTGCATTGCATTTCCTGTGATTTCCTCAGTGGACTGATCTGGTGCTGCAGATCATGCAGCCAGCACTGTCACCTCCCCATCGAGGAACTCAGGAGGCACTGGGGGGGCGTGTAGATGGACCCATGATTTACATGATCTGGAGCAGGAGGATTCGATTTAGTATGTTCATGTGGGGAGAATTCGTACTAGCTACAACAATGATATATCTTAATGGCCAGTCATGTTGTCACATGCTTATAATCCAAGAGCCCAAAAGACAGAGGCAGGAGGATCACTGGGAGTTCGAGACCAGTCTGGTCTACAAATTGAGGTCAAGGTGAGCCTGAACTGCATAGCAAAAGCTTCTCCCAAAAAAGACGAAGTGTGTGTGTGTGCGTCTGTGTGTGTGTGTGTATGAAATAGGTATTTGCCAAGTGGGTGTTGGAACAGAAATGGAGAGAGACAGGAACAAGAGGAAATAAAGGGGATGGAAAAAAAAAGAACTGAAAAAATTAAAATTGAGTTGCTGCAAATGAGGAAGGGGCCCAAGAATTGGAAGGAGCAGGTGTGCGTGGCAGGGGTTGAGAAGTCGGCCGTGTGTCCGTGCACCAGCTGTGCCTGGCAAATGTGACCACTATGTACTGCAGACATTCACTATCAAAAGACGGAACTGCTGCTGTTGTAAGTTAGGGTGTCCACCAGCACTTACATGAGTCTTAAGAATTTAGATTCATATAGGTTTCAATAATATGGTTCCAAAGGGCTGGTGATATAGCTCAGCAGACTAAGCACTTGCACAGGGGCCAGGGTTCCATCCCTGGTACCACATGCTGCGCTGGGCCCCACCGCTGGGCATGCTGAGCTGGTGATGGAGTCCAGTCGTGGTGGCACATGCCTATAATCCCAGCACTAAGGAGGCAGAAATCAGGAAGGTCACTATGAGTCCGAGCTGCATAGTGAGACCCTGCACACAGACACACAGACACAGACACACACAGACACACACAGACACACACACACACACACACACACGCACAGATACGCACAAAGAAACCTTAAAAAATAATATGGCTCCAGAATTTATTCATTCAGATATAATATAATATAAATGTCTTGGGTTTTGTGATTAGATGAACCTGGTCTCCAGCCATGGTTGTCATATGCTTGTGAGGCTGAGCAGCTGGCTCAAGTGCTGCTAATTTTTCAGGCCTGTCATGAGGATTACATGTATTCTATATAGAGAGAAAATAATCTAGAGCCATTAGTAAGTAGGTGCTCAGGGCTGGGGAGATAGCTCAGCAGTCTAAGCTCCTGCCTGGCAAGTGCAAGGACCTGTGTGTGATCCCCAGTACTGCATGCCATGCCTGGCCCCGAACCCTGGGCGAGCTGTGCCAGACACTGAAACTCAGCATGGTGGTGCTTGCCTTTAATCCCAGTGCCGGGGAGGCTGAGACAGGAGGATCACTATGAGACTGAGCTGCATAGTGAGAGACCCTTTACTAAATAAATAAATAAATAAATAAATAAATAATTTTTTAAAAAAGAATTTAAAAAGTAGGTGCTCAGTGTCAGTGACCTCTGCTTGACCCTCTCGCAATCTCCCAGAGATTTCTCATAGGTCCTCCTTCCCCCCAGATTGTGTTGTAGGTGATGTTTTCTGGTGGGCTGGCAGATGGAAACCCATGGTGGTAGCCAGCTTTTCTTCATGACTTACGGGATTTACCCTGGCACTTTAATCTGCTGAGCTATTTGACTGGCCTTAAAATGGGAATTTCTAAGATAAATAATTTTCCTAAGTCACCAAGAAAATGTATGCTATGAATGGCTCTTAGGATAGTGCATCTTTAATTGGTTCAATTTTTATCCAATTTCTCCAAATGACATTAGTATTCCTAACTTTCATATCAATGCCCCTTTTAATGAATATTAGTAATCTTCTGTGCAAAATGTGTGAGTGTATTAAAATAGGAAAATGAGAGAATTTCAAAGATAATAGAAAATATTAAGTGCTGACATTAGTGTATATGTAAATTACTAATATATATGCACTGTTAAGTTATTGTCCTTGACATTTATCTGGAGAAGTGTGAACTAAAGAATCACGTGCATAGTAGAATACGTTACAGGTGGGGTGAAAAGAAAACCAAAATAAATCTTAGGTTTGTTCATTTTAATTTATCATGTCTAATTGTGAAGTGACAGTAATTTTCCTTTCTAAAAACATGATAAAATATTATTCTCCCTCTAACTTTTGAACTAAAAATATTTTACCATCTTGTCTATGATTATGTTTTTCAGAAGCCATCTTTGCGGAGTACTTCCTTCCAGTGCTACTTGTGCTTTCTTCTGAACAGTCATTTAATAACGGAGGCTGGCATTCACGTCTTTGTTTGGGGGTAATTTCATCTTTAGACGTAAATATCACTGGCTCAAGGGGATGGTGGTTTTTCTCGATGTCTTCTCTGTGTGAGTGTATTAAAATGGGAATTTCTAAAATAAAGAATTTTCCCATTTTAAGAAATTCCCATTTTAAGGTTCAGGCTCCTGTCTCTAGGTACTCACTGCTAGGCGTAGAACAGGGCCGGGCTGTGGAGGTTCAGGACAAGCACGGTACATGCTTCCACTATCTTGGCAGTCCTACAGTGAGTATTCTGTCGCTCCAATACCTTGGGCCTCTTGGTAGCTCACTCAACTTGAAGATACATCACTTATTGATATCCTTCATGTTTGCACAGCAGTAAGAAGCAGATATTTGGAATTTGCTTGTGTGACTCTTTAATTGGCCCTCACATGGGTTCCTCCCATTGTCTGATGGCTGTCTTCGTTCCATGGAAAGCATTTCTGTTTAGTGCGCCCTTCTGTTTCTCCTCCAGAGAAGCACTCACATTTCTTTCAGGTCTGTTAACCTTTTTCTTCTTTCTTAGATACAGCTACTGTACTGCACCAAATAGGTCCAGAGCACCTAATTGCTTGTTATGTAATCCGTCTCCCAGTTCATTTTCTCTGCCGTTCCCTTCACAGTATTGGGGGAACCACAGATTTATGCAGGGAACTTTGCCTCGTAGGACAGATTAGCATTGACCCTCATGCTTCTGTGTGAGAATCACCAGGTAATGAGGACCTTCCCTGAGGCTCTAGGAATCATCCACAGCCACTTGTATGTGTCTTTGGTCTGGACATTAAATTTCAATTTTTATCCACTAAGTACGTGATCATTCAGCCTGGATTGAACTGAGATTTATTCCATGCATGAAGAAAGCTGCTGCAAGCATAGGGGCAGCGAGAGCGCCACGGTACAGAAGAGGAGCAGGGCAACTGCCCCCAAGCGAGCAGCTTCTGTCACAGTCCTGTCATGGACACGATTGTGGCTTGTGTTGAGATCTGCATTTACTAGAATAGGCTTGAACATCTCATGAAAGCTCCATTTAAAGAAAACTGGTTCACATGTTACAAACATTAAATGGGTGCTACCACCCATCTGACATTCTTTCTTTCATGCAATAAATGGCACCAGGTTGCTTATAAATTATGCCTCTACTTAGGCTTTTCTCTAATCCTTGGGGTTGCTCAGTCTTCAGGTTAACCTGAAGTGTCAAGGTATACCTGCCTTTGTAGTCATTGACAAGGCTGTCAGTTCTCCAAGGCAAGAATAACTCTGACCTTTTTCACTCATTAAGTGAATCGTTTACCTTGATTGCTTTATTGTAGTCAACAAGACAGCGTGATGCTCATTCCATGCAACTTACTCTGTGGTTCTCTTTCAGCTGCATCAGTGCAGGTCTTCCTAAAACAGAAGCCAGTTGGCATGATGTAATACATGACTTGAAAAGAATTGAAAATCTTATTCAAGTAAGTACTCATTTTTCCATAAAATAGCAGGTGTAATTGCTGTGTGGTATAAATCTCCTTATGTTTTCCTGTTATCTTGATTGCCTTCATGAAATCTCACTGGAAACAATATTTTTGTAGAAATGTATAAGCTCTGTAAAACTTCAAAAGGAATAATCTCTATTGGGCCAGTGAGATGGCTCAGCAGACTAAGCATGTATTTTGGCAAGCACAGGGACAATGGTTTGATCCCTGGTCCTGCATGACATACCGGCCCTGCCCCTGGGACACTCTGAGCAGGTGACCAAGTCCGGGCATGGTGGTGCATGTCTGTAATACCAGCGCTGGGGAGGTTGAAAACAGGAGGATCACTACAAGTCCGAGCCGCATAGTGAGACCCTGTACCAAATGCATATATGAAAAAATAGTAAAATAAAAAGTCCCTATTATTTTCTTATTCAAATTATCATTATATTTTCATTTGTAATTGGCTCAGTTTAAACAACTGCAGTTTCTACAGGTCAGAGAGACTTCCTTTGCCAGTTTAGAGAAAATGAGTGTGTTATTAGTACCTGCAGTGCAGCCAGAGTAGACCTAAGCCTGGGGTGGATGTCTCCTCTTGGCTTGGAGACCCTTGCGCCCCACCAAGAGTCAGCAGATGGCCTGACAGAACCAGCAAGCAGTGCAAAGCGGGGGCCGCACTCCTGGTGGTGGCCTGAGAGGTAAAACTTAGGTCTGGGATCTAAGCTCCCCATCGTCTACCTTAGGAATTGGGTGACCTGCCTGGCAGAGGTGTCTTCCACCCCCAAAGGTGACATCAAAAGGATCAGTAAGGGCACCAGTGATAGCACCTAAAAAGGTTCTGAAAACTTCACTGCCACTGGAATCACAGCACACAAAAGTAGGTCAGAACTCACATGTTGAATTTCAACCGCATGTTTTAAATGCATGTTAAAATAGAAGATTTAAATGGAACCAGAGTTGCTTAACATAATAGCTATAATTCCATGGTAAAAATTGTATATCATACTAAGATAGGAAAGTCAGAATCAAGTCATATCAGATATGGGGGTTATCTGACATAGTTTTGAAAACAGACATTACAACAATAGTTCTGAAAAGCAAGAATAAATATCCTTGAAGAAAAAAAAAAAGTACGCCTTAGCATAGAAGTAAATGGAATGAAAAGAGTCAAGTATGGTAGCCTGCAACGATAATCCCAGCACTCCGGAGGCCCAGGGAGGATGATCATTGCCACTTTGAGACCAACCTTGGCTATATAGTGAGTTCAAAACCAGCCTGAACTACATGGTAAGACTCTGTCTCAAAAAATGAAAAGAAAAAAGAAAGAAAGAAAGAAAGAAAGAGAGAGAGACTGACAGAGACAGAGAGACAAAGAGAAATAAATGGAAATTAAAGAGCTAAAAGATATAGTAAGAGAAATACAAAGCAAACTGGACAAGCTCATTAGAAGGATCACTATAATAGAGGAAAGAGAGTTAACCTGAAGATATAATACGACATAGAAACCTGAGGGACAAAATAGTGCTCAGGAACATCAGAGGAGAGCCATCATTCTCATACTAGTTATTTGAAAAAATATGAAAATTAATATAAGAAATGAAATTTAAATCAAAAGAGAAGGAAAAATCAATGAAACATAAAACTTGTTATATGGAAAAAGTAAAACTGATAAAACTCTAATAAGTCTGAGAAGAGAAAAGACACATCCCATCAACATCGCCAATGGGACGGGCTACCTTACAGAATCTTCAGTTATTAAAAGGCTAATAAGAGGGCTGGCCAGATATCTCAGCAGACTAAAGCACCTTCTTAGGCAGAGCGCAGCGGCCGGGGTTTGATCCCTGGCTTGCTGTGCCAGCCCCGCCCCAGGAGTATGTTAAGATGGCAGTTGAGACTGGGTGTGAGGGCATGCTTGGGAGGCTGAAACAGCAGGAGCACTGTGAGTCCAGTCTACGTAGTGAGACTCTGTAGACCCTGTCCTAAATACATTTTTTAAAAAGAGGTTCATAAGAAAAATCATGAAGAGTGGGTTGGGGAGATGGCTCAGTGGAATAAGCGCTTCCCTGGCAAGTGCAAAGGCCTGAGTTCAATCCCCAGTTCTGAAAAAACAACAACAAAAAAAAAAAAAAAAGAAAGAAAGAAAAATCATGAAGAATTTTACACCCACAACTCCTTTCTCAAGGGATGAACCTTAACCCCTTCCCCAAATGCATACACAGAAGCCCTAACTGCCAGGACCTCAGAATGTAACTGTATTTTCAGACCAGGTCTTAAAAGAGCTCATTAAGCTAAAATGAAGCAATTTGGACAGATTTTAGCCCAGTGTGATGGACATCCTTAGGAGAATTACTTTTGGAAGTGTACCCAAATCAATAAAGAACAAAACACTGGAACACAGTAGCATAAGTAGAAGTTATATAACCTGGAAGAAAATATAGAAATATTCTCAAATTGTCTTCAGAAAGAATATCAAAAATGTTTATATTTAGTGGACACAAATTAAAGCCACAATGATTGATCATTATATAGTGTCCAAAGTAAACATAGTGATCATGGACAAATAAATGTAAATTAAATATAAGTTTTTAAAATCTTTATTTATTTGGTACAGAGTCTCCCTATACAGCTCCAACTCATAGTAATCCTCTTGTCTCAGCCTTCCCAGGGCAGGGATTACAGGATTGCAGGTATGCACCACCCTGCCCGGTCTCTGTGGCTGGCTCAGCTTGCTTGGGGCTGGGGCCGACGCAGCATGTGATGCCAGGGATCAAACCCAGGTCCTTGCTCTTGCCAGACAGGCACTTAGATCAACAAGCTAGCTTTCTGGCCCCGTGAAATACAAATTAACTAAATAAAACACAAATAGGAAAGTAGTGTTGATGCTGAAAAGGGTGTAGAGAAGCTGGATCAATCACACAGTGTTCATGAGTGTGTAGAATGTTCCAGCTACTGTAGGAAATTTTTTGTCAGCTTCCTGTAAAATAAATTTGTCACATGATCCAGCAACGCTGATTTAAGAACTTATTTCAGAGACGTGAAAACTTATGTTAAAACAAATATACATAGTGTCTACAGACGTTCATAATTTCCAAAAGTTAGAAGCCACCCAAATATACCTCAGTATGTGAATAGTTTAAAAAAATTTTGGTGTATCACATCATAGAATATTATTCAGAAATGAAAAGGAACAAACTAGAGATACTGGCAACAAGTTGGGTTCATCGCCAATGTACTATGCTGAATGCTGAATGACTTAATTGTGCCACATTTACAAAATGGAATGGTATTCAGGGATAAAAAGTAGTGAGCCTTGGGGCTGGGGAGATAGCTCAGTTGAATAAGCCCTTGCCTGGCAAGTACAAAGGCCTGAGTTCAATCCCCAGTTCCACAAAAAAAAAGAAGTGAGCCATCAAGCTATGAACCAATGAATATAGAAACTTGGAAAGCATACAAGGGACAGTAGTATGCAGTGAATGTTTAGATTTTCACAAAATTATTACAGTAACAGATGCATTGCTGTTGATTTCCTACAGAATTAACCTACACTTGGCATGCATTTCATGCATTGTCTTTTCCACCTTCTGAGCAGTTCTGGAAGTCCTCTTTTGTAAGTGTCTTTACAAAGTCTGATCAAAATTGTGGTGAATAGTGCTGCTAAGTGTCACCCGCTGGGAAGGTGGGCTTGTAGAGACGTGCTTCTGTCTCCTTTCCTACCATATTCATGCTTATGTGTCTTTGCCATGTGACTCCTGGTTTTCCCTCAAGTTAGAATGACCAGGAAAAGTAAGCATTCTATTTCAGGATGTGATGGCAGCTATGAACACAAGCAAAGATACTGCAAAAGAAGGACCTCTAGGATTGCCTCAGAAAGTGGCAAGAAAGATGGGAGAAGTGTGTTGGAAGCAGGGTGGGAGAGCGTATCTTGAGGGTGATTAAGTACAGTATGTCTTTTACATTTTTAATGTAATACATTTTTAAAAATTTAAGCACACTTTTATTATGCATATTGCTAAGTGACAGATTGTATAACAATTACATATTTACATGATTTTGACTATATATCTTGGAAAGAAACAAAACCGTGAAGATGACAGAAGTCTAAGTGCTTGCAGGGGCTAGGAGGGATTGAGGGATGAATGGGATAATTATTACAGCAGTACAGCTACGTGTATGAAACTATTAGAGTAGAAACATGGTATCGTACATTTGTCAAAAACTGTAGAATATTTACATACACAGTACGAAATGAACCCTAATACTCTGTAATCTTGTCATAACAGTGTATGTGTTCATCACCTTGCAATCACTATATCAAAAAAAAAATAATTAACTGATGAAGAGAAAAGTTTTATTTTGGCTCATGATGAGGTTCTGTCCACGATCTGGTGGATCGTTGATTTCAGGCTTCTGGTGAGGGTTCCAATGGGGGTGATAAGACCGACTGCTCACCTCATGGCCAGGCAACCTAAGAGGAAAAGCAGGGGCAAGTATCCCACAGTGCCTTTAGAAGGCACTGATCATGCCGTGTGTGTGTGTGTGTGTGTGTGTGTGTGTGTGTGTGTGTGTGTCTTTGTGTGTGTGAGACTCCCCTCAGGCTCCCTTCCTAAGTTTCCATCACTTTCCAATAGCGCCACCTGGAGGACCAAGCATACAACACATAGGCACTTGGGTGACCGTAAGCAGCCAAACTAAAGCTTCACCACTTGGAGAGTTTGATGAAGGGTACTTGGGAGCCCTTGGATACTTTCTCTTACAACTGGATATAAGTGTAAAATTATGTCAGAATTAAAAATATAAATTGCACAGCTTTATTTTCTGTTTCCAGTGAGTGGTTCTTATTTCTAAAGCAGGCCACAGGTTTTGATGTTCTCTAATTTTGTTTCATTTCAGTCTATACATATTGATGCTACTTTATATACTGAGAGTGATGTCCATGTGAGTATAATTTTTTTCAAAATTTCTACTTTTCTGATTTTCAAAAGCCTAAGAAGCATGATTCATAACTTCTCTGAAATATGCCTAGTTTTTAAAACTAATTTTGGTGTCCTCTTCAATGATCAATGTATTTTATAAGTGATTGTTTAAGTTGTGGGACTGGGAGGCAAAAAGCTACAGAAATTCTGGGTTTTTTTAACAGTGCAAAATCAAAATATAAAGATGACTTTTCCATCAATGTCGAACAAAATATATTGTACATTTTTGTGATGTAGTTATATCATGATGCAATTAGATGCTAGAGTCGGGTTAACTGATTCAATTTAAAAGTATCCAACATATCAGTTATCTCCAGTGCTGTGGTGTGTCATCGTCTCTAATCATATTTTCGACAGATTGCTTAAGGGCATCCATGTTCTTTAGTTTGCATGGATCTCTACATTTGTCAGAAAATCTGTCTTACGTATTCTCTGAGAGAATAGAAGCATAATCCAAAAAGTTTACTAGAATTACAAATGATGAACTGATTTCATTAATACACTGGCATTGCCTGAGGCTTATAGGATTTGGGTCATGTTGCTAGTCCACTCCCTTTGGATTGTCACAAAAACCAAGAAAAGACCCCCAACTGCACTGCATGGACAATAAAACTGTGTTGTACAGATTTAGAACAATCCTCTCTTTGTTATTCCTCAAATGGGCCTTTTCTAAAATAGAAATTGTGCTCCACTAACATTATTCAAGCAGTAGGAACGATCTCTAGCCAGGGAACCAGGACAAGCAGATACTCCTCTTCCACCTGGGTAACGTGACTGCATATGGACATTTTCTTCCTCTTCCGGCTTCAGCATACATTCAGATTTTGCTTTGTTGTTCTCATCAGAAAACAATCAGGAAGCATTAACACTGAGTATCCTGAGCTTGCTTTTTTGCAAAGGAGAGAAGCTTTCAACTCATGTGCTTAAAAAATAATTTCAGACTGAGACTTAAACAGTGACTCAATGCTCTCCTGCCTGTGGTAGGAGTCACCAAACATTTCTCAACCGCGGCCTTATGATTGCCAAGAGGATCTAGCTGCCAACTCTGAGCGTATGCAGTGGACAGGCGGGAGCATTACCAATGCAGGCGCATGGAGGTGGCCCTTCATGTGCTCACCATGGGAGGTGGGGGCACTGTCAGGTGGCTGCAGGCTGCCAGGCACTATGCCAGATGTTGGGGACCTAAAATCAAAAGCGAGTAAGTCCTACTCAAGTCCCCATTAGAAGTTCTCTTTCTTTGAACTCTAGGTTTTTATTAAGTAATTATTGTGAGAAATGTGTATTTGTGGTACTTCAAAGGTCCCTTTCTAATTTGTCAAGCCTTTGAGGAGCCACCACTCCTGCTTTGATTTTTTTCTCATAAGACCCTTGGAATCCCTCTGCCTCTGGAACTTTGGAAATTACAGAAAGAGTCTTTCTTACAGTTCCTACTGTTTCAACTGTTACAAATCTGATGCTTAAAAACTTCTTACCAGTTCACTCTAGGTATTAGTGTTTTGATAGTCAAAGGTCACTGGTGTCACCCTTTCTACGGGGCAGCAGTGAGCACAGGGAGCCATTATTTTTCACGTTTCCGAGTTTTATGTTCTTTCTTTCTTTTTTTTT